CTCAAATGTATTATTAAAATCCAGAAAATTTGGAATAACAGTTGTCGTATAAAATATAGAAAATCAAATCCTGAATCGAAATACAGGTCCGCAAGTGTACTCATCCAAATTATAAGTATACATCAGAACTGAAATCTTAGTTACATACAAAAGGTATGTGCATGAATCTAAATGATGCCATACAAAAGGTATGGGCATGAATCTAAATGATGCGTTTAATAACAAAATAGAAAGCCAAAGATCATTTATGAGCTATAAGAAGAGAAACTTTTAGTTATATATATATATTATAGACTAAAGTAGTGATTTAGCAAAAAATTTAGAGAGCATAAATAGACAGATCAACAAACACAAAGTTAATACATAATAATTTAGAGAGAAGAAACGGTAAAAGCAGAATATGGAGAAAAATAACAAAAAGGCAACAAAATTAAAGTTCAAATTTTGAGGTATGAATAATAAATCTGGAAAAAAAAAATTAGAAAAATTATAGACATGTAACAGTATTGGAAAAGTAGTAGTTTGTCCATCAGGAAGACTGAGATTTGGCATTAACCAGACTCAAATAGGTGATTTAGTGAATACCTAGTTGTTGGCAGAAGAGAGAGAGAGTCTGAGAGACTTTGGAACATTAAGAAGTTGACATTTTTAAGAAGCTTTGTGCTACTAATGGTGGTATTGGATTCCTGCTTGGCAGTGAAATTGGGATGGACTCTTCCATCTTTCCATGGAAAATTGTCACTCACTTATTGCTTGACATGTGGCAAAACCTGATTGGTCTCCTCCATCTCCTCTTTGTCAATATTTACCATATATTTTTCATTTTTATTTGAATTCAGATTCTATACTGTTCAATTAAATTGTGGAAACTCGTGTGGGGTGTTACTGGATTATAAAACCTTTAGCTTAGTTACCTTCGGTCAAGAATTTGGGGGTGGCATTCAGGTTATAAATAATAGGGTTACAAATTTCAAAGGAGTATTGAGATTTCATTTTGCATACCTATTTAACACAACGGTGAATGTCATTGGTGTGTGTGTACACATATATATATATATATAAACAAATTTGGGTTACAAAATATTTTATATGAAGTATATTTTCGACATTTCATATAACAAAAGAATTTATGATGCGGAGTAAAAAACTTACCTCATACCTCTAGTTCCAGAGTTTAATATGGAACAAGATTATTATGAATATTATGAAGAAGAGACCCTACTGTGGCAGTATCGGGAAAATATTGGGTCGGATTGGTACCGGCAAATCCGATACATGAGGAGCGCAACAGAATCGGCCGATACTTGGGCCACCGGTATCTGAACCGGCAACAGGCGTTGGTTTGTGGATCAAAAGAGAGAAAAAAAAAATAAAAGAATGAAATCTGGATTTGATCACGTCGGTAAATATGTTTGATTACCTTCTTCCCCGGCAGCACAAGGGTAGAGGGAGGCTGTTGGAGCAATCGTTTGCTTCTTCGCGGCAACTTCTCGGATTGTTCGATCAATCGCTTGCTTCTTCGCGGCAACATATTGGTTGATAGAAAGAGAAACACCAGTGTCTTCAATGGGATTTCTAAGAGACCTTTTGAATCCAAACACAGACGCCACAGACTTCTTGGCCAACTAAATTTACTGCTTAGCACCGGATCTTTTTCTCTTTCCTTTTAAATATACGAACTGCTGCCCTTAGTTATAAAGTACAGTCTCTAATTTTATTTAATTTTTTTAAAATCACGGGGTACAGTTGTGTTTGTCATTATCACTCTTTTTCTTTTCCCGGAGTAATATAGTACGTCATAAATTTTTTCTCTAATTTTGATAATAATATTATGATTGTTAATAAAATAAATTAAGCTTTATAACTCTTTAGCAGTTAACTAATTGTGTTAAATGAATTTCAAATTTTTAATAAAATTCACTAATTTGAGTTTACTTATTCATTAACTTTGTAAAAATATAATTAAAAGACAATTTGTCTAAAATTTATAAATAAATTATTACTTTTATTAGATAATATTAAAAAAATCAATAAAAAACACTAAAAATTCATTTATGTCAAATTATGTCACAGAAAGTAGTGTATATATTGGTGCATTTTGGTGTGTAAGTTTAAAAAAAAAAAATATGACCGCAATTTCTGTCCATTACATTGCGTTTCCCACAGTTAGTGCAGCTGCAAACCTTGATTTATGTGTAATTGCTTTTAAAATTAATTAAATAAATAAATAATAAAAATTACTCATTTTCCTTAATAATAAAGAAAATAACAAATACTCCCTCGTTATGAGTCTTGGTACCCAAACAGATAGACTAACTTGCAAGGTGAGGCGGACCCACCATGGTCTCAGTTTGTGCACTCACTCACTTGCCTTCTAATAAAGAAGAAGAGGAGGGATCATCGAAGAAACAGAGGGCAATTCTGAAAAATAATTAATCCTACAAAGAGCAATTATGTAATAAGTAGAGCAATTATGTAATAAGTTCATAAAAGATTATTATCTGATTATAAATTGAAAAAAAAGCAAAGCAAAACATGTGATAACTCTGTCCATTAAAGGGTCGGTCACTTAGACTCTCCATTTTTATTGATAATAAAAAAATAAAAAGTTTTCAAGAAAAATAAATAGCGTCTATCGGTCAGCGACATCACATAGTAAATATTTTTGGATATGTATTCCTTCTCCTCCATAATTAGATTACACGAACTCATTAAAGTGACTTTGGTTCTTTAAATTTCTTATTCAAAGGATTCATAACAATTGATTTTGCTCACTGCCTATTCATTTGTTGACAATCCACTGTACAAAGGTTATACCATCATTTAGTATGAAAAAATTTGCACAAAACATTACTCTTTTGGTCAACAATTAAATGTTTTATTTTTTATTTTTTATTGTCTCGAAATAAATAAACATCCCATTTGAAAAGATTTAACCTTCTTACCAAACTATCACATCATGTGGACCTACTATGAACATATTTGATAATTCATTCACTATTAATATAATAAAAAATCATTAAAACTCATCTGCTTATAAAATTTGATTTTTGAAAATATATATATATATATTTAATTTGAGATGAAAAGAGTATATACAATCAATCACATATATGTCACAAAATGTGAATCATTAATGAAGCATAAATGATGTCATAATGGCAATTACTCTCTCACAAAGGTATGCTTGTCACTTTCAAGCATGATCCAAAATTCTAAAACTAATGGGAATGAAATAAATTTTCACGCATTAAGGCAGCATTTTAGTCATGAAAAGGAATTTCTTGTACTTATTTGTAAAATGGGAAATAAATGCAAAATAAAAGTAATATTGTCTATTAAATTATGTTTATAATGCAATTTAAACAATTATTAAGTTTTGCCCTTGGATATTAGTGATAATGTCTATTAAATTATGTTAATAATGTAATTTAGCATTATTTAATACCAACCAATAATGTTGCCCTTGACATTAGTGAGGGCAAAGTCCATATATATATATATATATATATATATATTTTTTTTTTTTTATGTGTGTCTATCGGTCTTGGATCCTCTAAGTTAAATCTTCTCTAAGTTATCATAAGTTGAATTTTCTGCATATTGACAAGTTGAATTCTCTGCATAATGACACGTGACATTTAAAATCCATCTGCTTGTATTAAACCACGTTAATTAGTGTCTATCAGACTTGGATCATCTATGTTAAATCTTAAACAAGTTAAAGAAAGTTTGAAAATTGCACCATTTTGAGATAAGAAAATACCATTTTGAGATAAGAAAGGTTTGAAATAAGAAAAATTCACCATACTCTGAATTTTTTTTTTTTTTTTTTTTTTTTTTTCTGATGAAATCTAAATTGCAAAATTCCTCTATTTTTTCACTATATTTTTTTTTTTTTGAAATCTAAATTACAAAATTCCTCTCCTTTTTAAAATTTAAACAGCAACATCGCTCTAGTTCACCCCTCCTTTTTTTTTTTTTCTAAAATCTAAATTGTTAAATTTATCTGTTTTTTTAAATTTAAACTACAAAATCCATTACAGAAGCTTAAATATTCACCAATGGCGATAATAAGCAAGAGGAGAGAGATGGAGCAATCTTTTTAAGAAAAGACGAGGAGCGAGACGTCGCTAAAGTACGATGAATTTTTCTTTTCCTTATTTCTCATTTTCCTTATTTCGGTACAGTTTTTAAACTTTGGTAAATTGATATGGTTTAACACAAACTATAGATAGATTTGAAATGCCACGTGCCAATCTGCAGAGAATTCAACTTAAGCTAACTTAGAGGATCTAAGTCCGTGTCCATATAGGTAAAACCATTATAACAAATTTGAAAATCCAAAATATTTGGTGTAAAAATAGTTCAAATAAGAGGAGTTATTTAAAAAAATCTTAACTGAAATATTAAGCATTACCCATAAAATTATTTTTTAGCAAAAAAAGAAAAAGAAAAGAGGAGAAGGTAACACAAATGAAGTATCCATGAAACCTGGTCCTAATTACTCGTACTTGGTTGTGCTTTTTGCTGCGGTCGCATTCCTTTCAAAGTTACCAAGCTGGGTGGGAGGCAATAGAATTTATTTCCCATTCTACGTCCTTCAGGAGCAACCACTGTGTGTCTGACGGTCCCACGCTCCAAATTATAAGCGAAGTATTTTTCCTCTTTCCACCTAAACCACAAATCACCATTCTGAGCAAACAGAGGAACAAGATCAACCATCATATCTTGATTTTCCTTTATGAATGCCAAGGAGATAACAAACTTTTCACCCCATTTTTGCCTTTTCTCATCTTCCAACACCAATACATGCAGAGCCTCTTCCACTCTATTAACAAATGACAGTCTTCCATTCCAACTTAAAGCATGAGACTTTTTCCAATCCGGGACCAAGTCTTGTGACAAAGCAGTAGCCGTAAAGCACTCGTTCTCCACATCTAGAGATACCAAATCTTGATATATATTTGATCCAATTATATAACCGAAAGCAGTGAACGGTAGAGCCAGCTGTTACAATTACTGAATTAGCTCTGTTTTTGTTAATATCATCATCATGGAGTAGTGGTAGGTTAGGGAGTTTGAGGGGTCTCCAAGAATCATCATCAGTACTTCCAACCGTAAGAACTTCACAACCTTCATTGCCAGCTTTTTTCCCATCAATATCATAGATAGACACCAATTTATAATCACCCGTAGATGGAATGAAAGACAAGGAGATGTCAATGCTACCCTTATGTGGATCAGGCAATTCAAGTATTTGGCGGGTGGTTGGATTCTCAATAAAATATTTACCAGAGGCATTGTTCATCTTGAGTAGCAAGCCATCACAACCACACATAAATTGGAGTGTGACAGAGGGAGGTGAGTTGGCGGGAGGTGGAGTTTTAGCTATGGTATTATATTGATATCTACCAACAATGGCCCTGCTTACATGCTTTTTGATGAAGTGGTGATGTTGAATTGTAGCATACCATTGCTTGCACACACACTTGAGCCTCAATAGGTTTTTTACTGGCAACCAACTCAGAATCTCAATAATGATGTCAGTGGGGATCCTTGCTGATGTTTCAATATACTGGAGTACTGATTTCTCAGCTGAACAATTAAAACCCATATTTTCTTCCATACGTACTACTGCATGCTCTTAACAATAGAATCTGCCATGGAACAAATATATATATATATATATATATAACAAATGTTGCAGGATTAGATACATAATAAGGGAAAATTTTACTTTAAATATCTATAGATTAGCTATTGATGAGAGTCATACATATTCTATTGGAATATTCCCTTGTACAAAATTAATATTTGCCTGCATGAATTCAAACTATTCTTTCCATATATGCATATATGCACCTTCTTATTTGAAATCCACACATAAAAGCCTCTCAAATCAAACTACACATATTGTACGTATAAATTAAACTTGATGAATGATTAAATTTAAATCCATACATTTTAAATCAAACAGCTTATTTGGATAATTTTTTGATATTTGTAAAAAAAAATTAATTAATTAATTATAGAATAGTTAAAATTGAAAATTCATGGTGAGATAGAAATCGTATATAATTATAACATAGTAGTTATTAATCTTTGAGGAAGTTTAAGAGGTGAAGAAATTCAAAATGATAAAATGGGAATTTAAATTTTGATTTTTATTGCATTTTTATTTATTTATGTGACTTATGTGTTTTTCTTAATTGATTAATTGGGTTTAATGAAATTTATTGTTAAATTGTATTTGTGTAATTATTTAATTTAAAGTAAATTACGATTAACAAAGTGCTCAATACAATATTTTTTCCATGGCCACAATTGTCTGATACATATGTAGGATACAACAGTAAATTATGCAATTGAATATTTGGCGAAAAAGTTTTATAAATTTTTGTGTAAGGGCTATGACTTGCCCGAGATGATCTTCCGAGCAGACACAATCTTATTTTGCTCCATCCCATAAAGTGCATAAAAATATGCAATGCCATATTTATTTACAGGTTTACAGCTTGCACTTTACAGGATGGTGTGAAATAAGATTGCGTCTACTCTGAAATTTCAAAACAGATTAAATCAACACAAATATCCAAATTCCAAAATTCAGAATTATAGAATCCAAGCCACATCCACAGTTTAACATCCACAGTTTATTTGTTTTCCCCCAAATTTCAAGTCACATGCATATATATATCAAACTCCCAAATGGCACAGCCCTCAATCTAAGTTTTCATCGCCGGTGTTGCAACAGTATTTGGATTTTTTTCCATCATTTATATTTTCCAAAGAACTTGCTCCCGCTCAATGTCCCTTCTTAGCTTCTTTTTGCGCCTCAAGCTCTAGACGGGAGGTATGTCTTTCATCCGTGAGAGTATGAAGTCTTTCACTGTTTTTTAATTTAAACATCTAACATGCTATATTTTTAAAATTTTTTTTTTTTTGAAGGAACCAGTGAAAGGGTGAAGGGTGAGGGTGTTAAGTGATGATGGGAACTTTTTATTTATTTATTTGAAATCTAAATTGTAACCCTAGTTGTTGGAAGGTGTATCCTTATCCTTGCTGAATGCTGCTTGGAGTTCCAACACTACTTTATTAGCTTGTTGTGATGTTTTTTTCACAGGACACTATCTCTGGCTGGAGGCATCATGAGTTTCTTCTATAAAATCTAATGCTATATCATTGTGTAATTCATACTTGAGATTAAATGATGAAGATGAATCGGAGTTTACGAATAACTGTACAAATGGTTCAATAGGATTGAAGTGGCTTAAGGAAAAATACTTGCCGGTGTTGCAACAGTATTTGGATTTTTTTCCATCATTTATATTTCCCAAAGAACTTGCTCCCGCTCAATCTCCCTTCTTAGCTTCTTTTTGCGCCTCAAGCTCCTTTAATTTTATTTTTTTTAAAATAAATAATTAAATTCTTATGCAAATAAAATGACTCTTTTTATTTATTTAAAAGTGAGATGAGAGACTCAAATCTCAAGGAGGCCACATCCTACGGCTAAAAAAGGGGTGCACGCGAGTGCTGTTGCAAGCGCGCTGTCACGATCCGATTCCTAACGACGCCATGAGCATAGAAGATACGCATGCTGGTTGGCTAAGAACATTCATTGACTGGGAATGGTTCCAGGGAAGGGGCGTGCAGGACCACAGGATGGTACCTCTTCAGAGTTCAGGCAGGTCGACTCGGTTCAGTTCGAGGTGCTTGTCGCTGGTCGTGGACTTGACTATGAAGAAGGGAGTTGGCCATCCCTGCACAAACTGGTCGGGAGCTGGAGCCGTTCCCCTGACGAGGCCATGGCAGGCCGAAACCAGTCAGCATGTATCCTTGGGAGGGCAGGTCGTGGTGGCTGACCAGGGCGCTTGCGCGAGCTGAAGCAACGCCTTGGTGCCGCACGGGCCGTGCCGCTGCGCCAAATCTCTAGGCCCGTGACAAATGGTATCAGAGCAGGACTTGGGGAAAAGCACAGAGGTGTGCCCCCTTGTCGATCCGGGGGTCTTGAGAATGAAGACGGTGCACTGAAAAAGCGTCGGTGGGCAATCAATGCTGTTGGAGGAGAGCCTCCATCTCCCCATGAAGACGCGTCCTTGAAGGGCCGGAGGGCCGCGCGCATCGGATGGCCGGAGGGCCGCGCGCACCAAAGTTCTTGCAAGTTCAAGAGGCGTGCAAACCGTTGTGAAGGGCGGGTATCAAGTCAGCCGGAGGGCGCTTGTTTGCTCGGGGTGTCGCGGAGGCGGCATAACGTGGGGTTGCGTCCCGAAGAAGTGGGCGTCCCTTTAGCCCGAAACCCTATCATTGGGCGAGTGCAGCCAGGGGTTGTACAAGGAAGCGATGGTGGGCAGGTGAGCATACCACTTGGAGGAGACAGGCTTTGGATTGTTGGACGCAGCGGAGTCAGCGCCGCACTGCGACGAGGGCGTCGCAGGATTTGGGTGGGGGAGAATGTCACGATCCGATTCCTAACGACGCCATGAGCATAGAAGATACGCATGCTGGTTGGCTAAGAACATTCATTGACTGGGAATGGTTCCAGGGAAGGGGCGTGCAGGACCACAGGATGGTACCTCTTCAGAGTTCAGGCAGGTCGACTCGGTTCAGTTCGAGGTGCTTGTCGCTGGTCGTGGACTTGACTATGAAGAAGGGAGTTGGCCATCCCTGCACAAACTGGTCGGGAGCTGGAGCCGTTCCCCTGACGAGGCCATGGCAGGCCGAAACCAGTCAGCATGTATCCTTGGGAGGGCAGGTCGTGGTGGCTGACCAGGGCGCTTGCGCGAGCTGAAGCAACGCCTTGGTGCCGCACGGGCCGTGCCGCTGCGCCAAATCTCTAGGCCCGTGACAGCGCGCTCGCAATAACACTACTCTTGATAAAATTTGTATGAATCAAGAATTTGGCCAGCGGCTGAAGCTTGTGAACGGCGAATCCAATCTAGAACAACGGGCGATGGAAATTGAGAAGAGGGGAGGCGGACATTTTTTTTTTGGGGAAAGTTGGGGGAGGTGACTTTGAGAATGGGAGTAAAGAAGTAAGGAACCGTGAGGATTGGATTGAGCTAAACTGAACCGATTCGATCCATGATCAGTCCTAGTGTCTAAGGGTAATTTTGTTTGAAAATGTTCTTCACACAATCACTCTAACTGAGGTGACTTAAAATAATACTTCATAATAGTTGAGGGGGTTAACTGCTAGTTTATCCATTTGATCGATAACTGCAAATTATAATATAATATTGCCTACTTTTGACATTGTATATGTAAACAGATTTTTTGACCCTCCTGTTTTGAGGCTTGCAATTGGCAAACACGAAGTGTAGTGCTCATACTTCTTTCACATATTCATGTATATTCTCATTTTTCTAATTTTTATAAAAAATAAAAATGTTTATTAAATGTTGGGCTAAAAAAATAAATTTAAAATTAATAGAGCATCCTGAGTCCCCGACAATAAGCTTTAAATAAGGCTTCACATGGTCTCTCATTACCGAATAATACATAAAAGGCAGTGAAATCAAAAGGAGACAAATTAAAGCACTTCAACATATGAACCCCAGTGAACTATGAAAAAAAAAACATATGAACCCACCCCAGTGCTAAGAAGACATAAAGATGAATTTGAATAAAAGTAAAAATAACATAGAAAAAAATGTAGGGTAGACAACTAAAATAAGAAAATAAAAACAGAATATAAATAAATGAAAAATAACAAAACAATGATTTAAAATTTGCATTACATATACCAGAATCATTATCATAATCTACTTTCATAACAAAAGACAAGTAGAACAACTATCAATGATGCAGCAACAAGAAGAAGAAGAAGGACGAAGCTTACCTCTTGTGAAGATTAGAATTGGCAATCACACCCTTTGATTTTGAATAAGTAAAACCCTAATTCTAGTTCTAGAGTTTAATACGGACGAAGATTGTTGTGAAGACAGAATCCGAACAGTCTCAGACCCTATGCATTGGAGATAGAGGTTGACTGTGCAATCAATTGTTTTCACCAACTACGATTTTCTCATGCGTCGGACATCAACCATGCGGCACTCCTAATCCAACTAGACATTGGTTATGTTATGAGTCCTCGTGTGTGTGTGTATATATATATATATATATTTAATACTCCGGGTATCTAATAGTATGTATTAATGTACCCGTAGTTTGATAAAATTCCCTTAATAAAGTGGATTTCTACTGGACTCGCTTGAAACATCTGATAGTAATTAGGTCAAACCATTCAATTTGAAAAAGGGCAGTGCTTCAGTCAAGTCTCATCAACACAGATTGTATCATGTACACTAACATATCCTAATAAGAAATTGATATATTTTTTAAATTTTAAAAAATACAAAACTTAGGTTATACCCATATTTTATGGTTAAACGACAAATCTAATTTTTTTTCTTACTCAACTTTGAACATTATTTTTAATTAACTCATGAAAAATTATTTTTTTTTACCTTTTTCTGTTATTTTTAATTTTCTTAAGATTAAAAATTATAAGAATTAAACTAACTATTTCTATTTCTTCATTTTTAAAATCTACCTTAACTATTTTTTATGCATGCTATATATGAAAGTTAATTTTTTTTTTTTTTTTTACTCAATTATACAATTTCT